TGGGCCACCGGACGGACTATGATGGCTACATTCCCTGGAAGCAATGTGTGGCCAGTGGTCAACGGCAGAGGGTATTGGCGGAATGCCATGATGCTCCCACGGCCGGTCATCAAGGCATGAGGAAAACAGTGTCGAGGTTAGCTCAAAGGTACTATTGGCCGGGTATGTTCCGTGACGCCGCCAAGTACGTGAAGTGTTGCGCAACCTGCAAAAAGTTCAAGAGCGAGCAACTCAACCCGGCTGGACGCATGCTGACGAGGATCAGGATTCGTGGGACGAGCGCTTTCCGGATATATCGCTAGCGGTCATCATAAGCGTGGCGGACTGGACAGGATTCAGTCTCGCTTTCCTGATGCAGGGAAGGGACCCACGGTTTCCCGCCGCAGTGTACGATCAGCTAACTCCGAGCGACTCTTCCACTTGATCAAGCTGCCGTACAAATCCGTACAGGCACAAGTATCGGGATTAAATCAAGTTGTTGCAGCCCAGCCTCGCAAACTCTGCCATTTTAATATTGGCTCTCCTTCCTTCACAGTTTCAAAGACCGCATCCACCGCTCGAATATCCGTCTCTCGAGAAGAGCAATTAGACATTATTCTCACAACATTTTGGGACGTGGAGGACACACCAGTCAAGCTGGTAAACAGCTCCGACTCTTTCTGTGAGAGTAATTTAATCCGAGCAACAACAGAACCTAACCACATAGACTTAGGTCATTTAAGATCTATCGCACTAGCTCAATTTCTAAAGAAGGACAATCGTTTAAAAAGAAACCCTCCTTTGAAAGAGCAGTACGACTCCGTGATTCGGGAGTACTTCGACTTAGGTCATATGACACAAGTCTCTCCAAACAGCAACCCCAATAATTTTTACCTGCCGCATCATGCTGTTTTTAAGCCCGACAGCACCACAACAAAGGTTCGCGTTGTGTTTAACGCCTCCAGCCCGTCTTCCAATGGCAAAAGCCTGAATGATATCCTACACTCGGGGAAGTACTGGTCACTCCAATCCGATCTCGGAGTATACAGACCGCTAACTTCAATTCTTGCTATAACTTTCCTTCCATGTTTAAAGAAACATATATTATATAAGCAAGGCCACTTTTCGTACTTCGTCATTACAAATGACTTCATATACATTGGGCTCAGAAGCGTTTTCAAGAGTTTGCATAGGCAAATCTACTTGATCTTTTCCTGCGCAGGAGTTTTTCTGTTTACTTTGGTGCCTGGTAGTGACTTTCACTACTTTTCGTACCTCGTCATTGGTTATGAATTGCCTAGGCAATTCTATTTCTTTCTCTCCTGCGCAGGATTCTTGTCTACTTGCTTGTCTTGTAGTGAGTTTAACTTGTAAATCTTTTAGTTCTTTGATGGTTATTCTTGATAACGCATCAGCTACATAGTTATCTTTACCCTTTAGAAACTCTACTGTGAAATCGTATTCTTCTAATTCGAGTCGCATACGTGTTAATTTGGAACTTGGATTGACCATTGAAAATAAATATGTAAGTAGTCTATGATCTGTTTTGACAGTGAAATGTCTCCATAAATATATGGTCTGAAATTTGTTATTGCCCAATGAATTGCTGCTTATTCTTGTTCTGTTGTACTTTTATTATTTTCTCCCTTAGTAAATGAACGTGATGCATAAGCAATTGGGAGTTACAGTCCATTAAATGTTCTTTGGCTTCTTTCTAGTGTTCCAACAGTTTGATGATGATGTGCAGTCTTTATTTTTAAATATTTGCACAAATCATTTATAATTGAATTTGTATATTCCATTCCCATGTCCGAAATGAACGTCTTCATTGGACCATTGAGAATAAATGATTAATATATTGCTGTTGCAACAGTTGCAGCGCTTTTATTTGCGACAGATATAGCAACTAAATATTTAGTCAAGTCACATATGAGCGTGACTGCATATTCGTTGCCTTAATTTTGGTAGTGGACCAATTGTATCCACTATCACTATGTCAAAAGCCTTCACAAATATGTGAGTGGTCTGTGATCTGTTTTGACAGTGAAATGTCTACCATAAATATGTGGTCTGAAATGTGTTTTTGCGGATAGGTTAAAAGAAATCTTTTATATCGTCCACAGCAATCTCCAGCGCGCATCGCAGGTCCATGGCAGACATTACAGCCTGCGGAGACGAGAGTGGCGGCCTTCGTTGGACTCGTAGTCCTATTAAGGCAACACCAAATAGGTAACGAATAAGTTAACAAATAAGTCGAATTTACAGATGGAACCCGAGACCATCACAATCTCATCAGACGAGGACGCCAGCAGCGGAGATACCTTTGCCTGGGCTTGGTGCTGAAGGCCGTCCGCGTGACCTTCGTCGGGGTCGCGAATACTACGGGAGAGGACGGGAAGAGGAAACCCCTCGCCAGTTCCGACACACCTTCCCGCGGCGGATCAACGTCATGGAGAGACTGGACGGGATGGTCATGCTGATGGCTGTCGAGGTCACGACCATGTTCGTGGAGGCGACGTTCACACGCAATTGGCCACCGTATGCGGAGGAGCCCCCGTGCTCCCCGCTTGCATTCCCCTCGCCTAGGTCTTCCGGAACGACAATATCGATAGCAACCGGCAAGGTGGACGATCCTGAGGACGAGGAGGAGCTCCCATCGCTCGAAACGGGCAGGCAGGGGCCGTCAGCGCAAAAATCCAAGGTGATAGACGTAGAGAAGGAGGGAATTTCCCCGTCGGCGCCAGAGACAAAGTCGGCCCGATGGAGGCAGCAAGCGACGTCCCAGTGGCCCGTACGGAAACGGACCAGATCAACCGCAGCTCGGATCCCACACCGGAGGGGAACCCGACGGCGCCGAAACCCATGCCGGCTTTTGAGCCGTTAACAGAGGAGGAGGGAGACGAACCGGCATTCCGCCACCCCTTCACCACCTACCGTCTAGAGGTAGACCACGAGAGCAATTTCCCCCGGATAACCCCGCGCTACTTGCCAAAGGTTCCCGAGGAAGTTAGTGCACCCCATTCTGAGCTCCACACAGGGGAAGACCCTGGCGGAAAACGCCGACGAAACCATCACCACCGACAGACGGTCACCCAGAGTAGGCGCCGTCGAAGCAGGAGCCAATGCCAGCCTAGTCCTGAGGGAACGTCGACACCGACCCAGAAGAAGCTTCGCTCGGAGACCGAGAAGCCCGGAGGCCCGCAGCTGCGTGTGCCGCGTTCGCTCCGCAGCTGCGCGTGGAGGACCCTAGCTAGCGCCAATCTCAGTCTGCCAAATGGTCGCGGAAGAGCGGCGATTCGACGTCAAGGACGCGACCACCGCTCGTGCCCATGGCCTGTGCCAAATCGCAATTTCCCACCTCTCAGCAGAATTGGAGAATGCGTGGTTTGGCCACGAGGACGCGATGCCCGCACTCGTGCCCATAACACGCGCCGAATCGCCCGACACTACTTCTCGGAGAGAATTAGAGGAATCGTGGTTCGTCCAAGAAAGCGAGACGCCGTTCGTAATGGCATTCCTTGCCACTCGCGAGAAGGCATGGGTGAAGCGCGTTCCGAGGACGCGGACGCGATGGCAACGCCCCCATCCCCCAAGTCAGGTGCTACGACCGAGGTTCCTTCCCCAAGTGATCCGAAGACCCTCATCGAGGCCACTGAGGTCAGCCACCCCACAGTTTTGAATCCACTGTAAGGAGCCATCGTTTTATGGCCAAGATCACGGCAAGGAGCCGTTGAGCTCATAGTTCATATCGTGCGCATTAAGCGCATAGTTAAGGGCAAGGAGCCCAGTTCAGGTTTGGATTTAACAGCCAGCCGCCGCTACAACCGTGACAAATCGCTACCGCTACAAATCGGAGAGCGAAAGCTCCGAAGCGAGGCTGCGAAAGCTCGCGGCGAAGTTGAGCGGTCGAGGCAAGCGCACGGCTCTCTAGCGAGCAAGGCGGCATTTTTTGTAGACGTGTCAAGAAAAGGAGCGCGAGCTATAACAGTGAGGTGTACAGCAGAACGCTAATGCTCCAAGGCATTGCTGCAGGGCCTTAGATTAGGAGACCCAGGAGGATATAAGTTACTAAAACTAGTAATAAAGTGGATATAATCAAAGCAATGAAGAGAAATGTTGATCTTTGTATAATTGTACTAAACATCGGAACTAACCGAGATTCACCCTAACCTATGGGGCTCGTGTAGATGGTGCGAGGCCAAGGCCCGGCAGTGCAGGAGGTGCGAGGCTGTAGCCCGCTAGTGTAGTTGGTGCGTGGCCAAGGCCCGATAGTGTAGTTGGTGCGACGCCAAGGCCCGCTAGTGTAGTTAGTGCGAGGTAAAGGCCCGCTAGAATATGTAGTACGGGGCTGCGACCCAGTAGAGTAGGTGTTGTGAACATAGAGAAAAAGGCATGTTTTGGTCGGTACTTTCATTTCCAATCTTAATAGAATTTGGATATATATGAGAAGCATAGGAACGATCGGTCGAAAATTAAGTTTTTTTATGACAAAACATTTTGTTTTTCAAGATATCTTGACCAAACGCGGCATTAATTAGTTTTACTATGCTCCTCATATATACGGACCACTATATCATATAGCTGTCATAGAAATGAACCGTCGAAATTAAGTTTTTGTATGAAAAAACATTTTGTTTTTCAAGACATCTTGACTAACTCGGCAATTATTGGTTTTACTATGCTCCTCATATATATGCAAAATCCTATTAAGATCGGATCACTATATCATATAGCTGCCATAGGAGCAATCGGTCGAAAATAAATAGCCCTTCTTTCTCGTTTTATATTTTTATTTATTTATTTTTTTTTGTTGCTTTGGGGTTTTTTTTTCCTCTGCGTGAGAGCAGAGCTGACCTGCTTTGAACACACTTGCTTTCTTATACACACAAAAAAGTGAAAAAATGTCAATACTTATTTCCTGCTAGAGGGTTTAACTCCTATAGCAATGCAGACAATAATTTTAGAAATGTTTTCCTGTTCAATTAAGTCGGTTGTTTTGTTTGTTTTTTATTTTGCACTAGGTTTGCGATCGGTATCCGGATAGGCTTGATGAGACCGCCGTGAGCCGTCCAATTGGCACAGCAGATGCGTTTCAAGCAATGGCACTTTGGTGGCCAGAGTATTAGCCCATAACCCAGAAGAATGTTGGTTGGCTGTCTTAGTGGTCCTATGGAGCACTAGCAACGATTCGGATGAGGACGATCGAGATAAAATAAAATTATATAATTTTTCATGGTCTGGAAAAATATTACTATGTGGCGCATACCTACAGCTCTTTCCCCTCTTCTCAGCTTTATTAGATGCTGCTAAAAATAAAGCAAAGGGTTTTGGTTGTCCGTCTCACGTGAGCGTCTTGGTTCCCCGGGGATTGCGACAACGCAAGCATTTCTGGCCCCTTTCGTGCCCTATTGTTCAAGCAAATGTATGGCCTAATTTTACGAAGTTTCTATGATTGTTTTGTATTTCATAAAAACAATCTTCTTCCTTGGGGGGTTATATTGGCAAAAAAAGGCCTTCTGATACTATCCGCAGGTTTTTATAGTCTTCCAAAGAAAAAGCTCATTACCCGGATGACAAGTGGAGACAACGAAGTTGGGGTGATCATATAAAGCTCCCATGTGGAGATATATGAGCGGTGCAAGCTTACAAAAGCTCGACTTTCGTTAAGCACTTTAGCTAAAGCTTGAGTTGGTGCATTACGAAAGCAAGCTTTTGGGTGTTACAACACAGGCTACAATTTTGTCTTAAGCGATGTGGTGGAGATGTGATTATTATTTTTTTTTTTTTTTTTGAACGCGAATCCCGATGCAACGTACTACATCCCACCTCCCGCCCAACCGACCGAGGGGCGCAGTCGTATAACGTACGACACGAAATGCAAAGTAAATATGAAGAAAAAAAAAATATTAAAAAAAAAGTCGTTACAAACAACGAGTACGTGTACAAATACAATTACAAATAAAAATAGGACTATCTACTTGCTAAATAGTTTAGAATAGAAGACTTTATACGAGGAAGAGAAGCTTCCGAGCAGAATACTCTGTAATGCTTGTTATAGTCATCACAGAGAACCCTGAACGGTTCATGCAAGGCATAATTAGTTGAGCAAAATTGAACCGATAAAGGTACAAAATTACGTGTTAGTCTAGTAGGGATAGAGAAATTTAATTGGCTAATCAACACAGAAGAGTCGATTTCACCAGTAATTTATTTATGAATAAATATTACACCCAGCATGGTTCTACGATTAATTAAAGAAGGAAGGTTAATCATCAGAAGTCTACTGGAGTATGACGGTAGCCGCACACGAGGATCCCAATTTAAACCACTAAGGGCAAACAACAAGAATTGTTTCTGAACGGATTCAATTCTGTCCTGATGGGTAGCATATTGTGGTGACCAGATACATGAGGCAAACTCAAGAATAGGGCGTACCAAAGATATATAAAGTATTCTTGTCGTGTACGGATCGTCAAACTCCTTTGACCATCGCTTGATGAAACCCATAACTATTCTGGCTTTATTGACCACGGTATTAACATGAGAGTCGAATTAAAGTTTATGATCAAGGATGACACCTAGATCATTAACTTCATTAGAAGTACTATTAACACGCTCAAGCGGTATGCTATCAAGGATGTAAGAAACAAATTAAGGAGGGCTTCTATAGAAGGTCATTACCTTACATTTAGAGCAGTTTAAGTTTAACAGGTTGGCTAGACACCAAGCCTGAAACGCATCAATGTCCGCTTGTAAGAGATAACATGATGCAATATCCTTATATGCAAGGCATAATTTTACATCATCAGCATACATTAAAACTCGGGAGTGAGACAGTATCGAGGGAAGGTCATTGATGAAAAGAGTAAAGAGTAGCGGGCCAAGATGACTACCTTGAGGAACACCGGAAGTCACCAGAATACGTTTAGAGAATGAATTTCTGAAAAGAACCTTTTGGGTTCTGTCACGCAAATACTCTGATATCCAGTTCAAAAGATTGACTGGGAAGCCGAGAAGGCTTATTTTATGAAGCAACAAGGAATGGTTGACAGAATCGAAAGCCTTACTGAAATCAGTATAGATGACGTCAGTCTGCTTTTTTTCCTTAAACCCATCAATTACAAACGAAGTAAACTCAAGAAGGTTAGTGGTTGTAGATCTGCGCTTCACGAACCCATGTTGGGAAGGTGAAATAATAGAACTACATAAATGCTGCAGTTGAGATGTTATAATTCTCTCAAAAGCTTTAGGTATAGCGGATAATTTGGAAATACCTCTATAGTTTTCAACATCGGATTTACTCCCTTTCTTATGGAGAGGGATAATGTATGATTCCTTCCAGATGGTCGGAAAAGATGAAGTGTTTACGGACAATTCAAAAAGTTTTAAAACAGGTTTACATAATGCTGCAGGCGCAGTATCTAAGCACGCAGCAGGAAAACCATCAGGGTCCGGCGAGTAAACCGGCTTGATAGTATTAAGGTCGCTAAGAAGCGAACTTTCGGTAATAATGAGATTAAAGATGCAGTTTGACCTCTGTAACTGATAAGGATAAGGCTGATTTTTATTATACCTAATGGAGGAGTAGGTAGTTTGAAAAAAGTTTGCGAACAGATCGGCTATGCCTGGATCAGTGTTCGCGCTCTCATCTGCAAACTTAACCGAAGAAGGCAAAGTAGATGTCTTTCGTTTAGAATTGACAAAGTTACAAAATTGCTTAGGATTATGTGAAAATTGAAGGCGACAACGCCGAAGGTAATTCTTATAGCAGATGGAATTTTGGGTGGAAAAATTTGATCGGGCAACTGCATAGCGGGAGAAATCAGAGTGATTTCCCGATTTCTTAAACTTATTATAACACCTCGACTTCACGTTTTTTAACCTCATCAGTTCCTTTGAGAACCAGGGAGGCCTATCAGGCCTCGCTGCGTAATCAAGAGGAACGCAGACATCAAAAATCGAGTACAAGGTGTCATAAAAAAGTTTCAAGGCAACATCAATGTCTGCACAATTGTACAGTTGGGACCCGTCGACTTGCAGAATAAGATCATTAAGCTTATGAAAATCAGCCTTTCTGAAAAAACGCATACGTTCAGCTAATTCCGATTCCTTGATAGGGACTCGGGCTGGTAAATCAATGACCATTTCCAGAGCTGGATGAAAAAGGTCTTCAGGAAGTGTAAGCGGATTGATCCTGTGCACAACACTGTTGAACGAATCCAACACGAAAATTAGATCAAGAGATCTGTTTCTTGAATTGCGCACACGATTAACCTGCCGTAAGGACATTTCATGTAGACCATCAATAAATTCGTTTGACGATGACGGCAACAGAAAGTTTGAGTCTGATGGCGATGACCACTCGACAACAGGAAGATTAAAGTCCCCAAGAACTACTAAAAGGTCTCTATCAGAAAGTAGGGAGGAGATAGATTTAATAGCATTAAGATGGGTTTGATAGGTAGACAATTCAGATAAAGGAGGTAAATATGAACATGTAATAAAGATAGAAAAAGTACCAAATACAACTCGTACAGCCACCAACTCAATCTCTGAGATGGGAAGATCAATGCGTTCCGACGAAAGAGCAGACTCGACAGCTATAAGTACTCCTCCTCCGATACGGGAGGCTCGATAGCATCTGTAAGTGGTGTATTTGGAGGTAAAAATTGAAGAGTCTGAGATGTCCGGCATCAGCCAGGTCTCAGTAAAAGCGATAATTTGAAAATTGAAAGCAAGAGAGTCTAAATACAGTTTAGCGAGTTTAGATTTAAGACCTCTAACATTCTGGTATGCTCTGGTAGCTCGAAAGATGGAAATAGTTTTTTGACGCAGCAACTAAAGTTGATGCGCCATTAGAAATAGGTGGTAATAAAATCGGAGTCCTATTTTTCTTTTTGGCCTTATATTCTTTTACTATTAAGTTCTCCGGCCAAAACTCTTTACAACAAATATCAGTAAATATTTCTGGCGGAACACTTATTTTAAAGGACGCAATATCCGTTTCATACGCGAACTTAAATTTCTCCACCAGTATACCTGGGGCTTGAATTTTTGCCTGTATAAAGGCTTTTACATCATCTGATGAAAAGTGAGGGGCAAGCCTAGAAACAAAAATAAGTCTCTTCGGTGGAACACCGACTAGATGCTTAGGTGCCACAGGTAGGTCAGTGGGAACACTATTAACTATGGTACCTAAAACAGCTGGTAGTCCGGACGACGAGCCATCTAGCGGCTGTTGAAAATTTAATTGTTGCTGTCGCCCTTTCGGAACACCCACGACAGCGGACGACACGGATAATTCGATTGGTTTTTCTCGTGCCGATGTCACACTTTTCGGGACAGAATCAGTGTCCACAGCAGACCTCACAGCTACCGGAGTAACAAACGAGATGAGCTGCTGTGTAATCGGTGTAGTAGGCTGCTGCATAGCAGTCGGAGGCTGAAGGGTATTAGGCAACGGCAGATCACAAGGAGTGGGCTTTTTAGGCCCCGGAGACTCATCTAACAGTTTAAGGCTATTAAATTGGGTGTCCAGGGCTGTGAGCTGATCGTTAAGTTTACGAAAACCAACAATCAGACCCCTAAAGCCACTCCTGGTCTGACGCATAAACGCCCGCATTTCACCATCAATCTCCCTACACGAGTCGCAACTATAGTGCAAGCATCCCCCACAAGACCAGTGTAACCCACACATTTAGAATGCACGACATTATCACACAGCCAACAAGGTATGCTGGATTGACTTGCCGTAATTGGCATTTGGCAAGTTTTTATAAAACAGACAATTTTATGGTCCATTATTATGGGTCTCTACTGTAATAACACAGCCAAATGTAAAAAGAGAGTTATTTAGATTAGATTAATAGCGTATGGAGCACCAACAAGCGGCAGATAGTAGAAAAAGATCAAAGCGCAGTTAAACATAAACAACAAACAACAACAAGAAGCTTACCCATAGAGCTAAATAGCGCAAGCGCACAAACAAAAATGCACAAGAACACAAGTTTGAAAGAAACAATATTTAAATAACAAAAGTGCACAGACCACAAGCATGCACTCGCACTATATGCAACAGTTTGTAAGCCCACAGGTGGGCGAAGAACGTAGTTGGGCGCT